GTCAACGGCGAATGACCGCGAAATTCAAGCTAAGTATATAACGCATCTTCATAAGCAATGCTGTATGTTTTCCAGAGGCATATAATAACAAAGTATATGATTAATTGGCTTTCAGTTACCAAAATTCATTATCATTTTTCCTAGTACGAATAAGTGGTAGTTGACCATTTTTTAATTTATTTTTTATTTTAAAGCTAGTGCTATCGTGTCTGGAAAGTAAAACCAAGGAAGACCGACTAAGCATACGGGACTATGTCACTAACAAGAAAAGTCTTTAACAACCTATGCTGAAACCCTGTATATAGTGTGTGTGAGTGTGTGTGTGTCACCTTGCTTGGTCTGCAGTCGCACGCAGGAGGCGACGAGCGTGTTGAAGAGCGCCTGCTGGCGCAGGCAGGCGAGCAGCGCGGGCACGTGCGAGGGGTGCGTGAAGGGCACGCCGCGCACCACGCACCCCTCCAGCCCGCGCGACTCGCACAGGAAGTAGCACTGCGTCTGCTCCGGCAGGTTCTGCCGTAACACATTATTTAACACTTAAATGCATTTTTCCAAACATTTCCAAAAATAATATTTAATGCAAAATCTGTATTTGTAATTTTTTTACATTCAGATGCACAAATGACGAATAATATATGAAATAAGTATGTGAGAGGAAGTTTGAGCGTAGCCCCAGTGGTTGGGAAAATAATGAGTAAAAGGTTAGCATGGTATGGGCATGTTATGAGAAGGGAGGAATCGCATGTTGCAAGGAGAACGTTAGTTATGAGTGTGGAAGGGTACACCGGTAGAGGTAGACATAGAAAGAGATTGATGGATTGCGTGAAAAGTGACATGATCAAGAAGGGAGTGAAGACTGACTGTGTTGACGGATGACGGAGTTATTTGGAGGACAAAAGCCAGGTGCGCCGACACTAGGGGAGTAGGGTAAGGTGGCGAAGATAAAATGCACAAATGACGACGAAGGCCTTTGATATTGGATAACAACTACCGTTACTAACAACCCTGTTTCTACGTTGCCAACTTATAGATATTGTCTCTTTCTCGCGTGACAGTTTCTTCCAAATTATTTACTCCCCAAGTGTACTAGCGTGAAAATAGTCTAAAGCGTGTCGTAGATGTAGGGCATTTTATTAAAATAACAATTATTTAAAAACATATTGTGATTGCTGTCATTCTACATAACTAAGTAGTGTATTTTTACGCTTTATTACATATAACTACCTAGTTATATGTAATAATATATGGTAGTTATATATATAGATAAAAATAATACTGTAGTAGTATCTTATATATAAATGTAACATACCACAAAGAGTCCTTTGCTGAGATTCAACTCGACGGTCTTTCCCGGCGCGAGCTTGTTGTAGGCCTGCTGCGCCACCAGCCCCAGCATCGGTTTAGCGTTGCCCCAGTCCCCGGACACCTCCACCTTACAGTACATTAAATACATAACTCCTGTGTTACGCTTATCTATGAACATTGGTTAAAATATTTACTGTGACCTTTCTTGTTGATCAATATAATAAAAGAGTACAGTAGAGAATTAACAGTGGACATCAAGTTTTTGGGGTTTTCAAAAAACCAAGTTAGAGTGAATACTTTTTACAATCAATACACTGAACTACCATATTCCAATCAAAAATCTGTACTTTAGACAAACTACAATATACACTAATATTTCTGGTGAAACACTTATTTACACATAACATTAACTACCCTTATTTCACAAAACTTAGAAACTATATTATCAATATGGCCTTAAAAAAATTATTTTTCTCTATTTACTACGCCTTCAAGAAAAGAATGAATAAGTATTTATTATGTTAGCGTGTACTATCTTTGAACCACACTGATATAAGGTGGGATCGCGATCAAGCATACAGCTTAACAAACATAAGAAAAGTTGAAAAAATTACTTTAAGCTTAGTAGTGGCGTGTATTAGTTAAGTTAAGATAGCTTGTACCATCTTTCGACCACACTTATATGGGATGGGATCGTAGCTAAGCACTAGCTTAAAAGACATAAAAAATAATTTAGGCTTACAAAGGTTAGTTACCTCAGTGGTAGCGTGTATGAGTTTGGCAAGTCCGGCGCACAGCGGCAGCGGCTGCGAGAGGCGCAGCGTGAAGCAGGCCGGCAGCATCGCGCTGTTCTGCGGCACCAGCGGCGCGTACACTGGCCCGTTACTGCATTAACATACACATTTACATTTATTTACTAATGAGCTGTCGCCCGCAAAATTCGTTAGCGCGAATTAAAAAAAAGGTCATCTATCACATTCCCGCGTGCATCTACCTTCTACCAGCTTCCTTCCAAATTCCCGTCCAAATCGGTTCCAGAGATAGCGGTCCGGTTGCCATTTTGACAGAGCGGAATTAAAAAAATTAGCCTATCATATGCCCGTCTAAGTCAGCTGCCCTCCACTGAAAGTCCGGTCGAAATCGGCCCAGCCGTTTCAGAGATTACCCGAAACAAATTCAGCTTGCGGACAGACAGACAGACTTGTCTGATAACAATCCACATGTAAAATAAGTGATGGAAATATCGGATTTTGTTCCCTTATCTAACAGAGACATCTTTAAGCTACCAGCCAATGGTGGGACAGGCCCTAAGTATTGAAAGTAATTATGTTGTTACAATTATATTAATGTCTAAAACTAGCCTAGTCTATGTGTTCTGGACTATCCTCTGCAATTATGCCAATTTATAACATTAGTATAATCAAAAAGGTACACCAATTTTTTTGGTTCAAGGAACACTAGAAGAAAATAACACACAAAAACAGCATTCACACGAAAAAACTTAAATACATGCATGTCATTTCCACTAAATTCAAACTTATCTGCTAGAATATTAAAAAAAGTAATTCACCCTTTGCCTGATCTCTGTCCATTTGAAATAATAGGACAGAGCTGAAGTTTATTGGCTGTAGAACCTTCTAGAAGAATGGTCGCGGAGTAGCCCACTGGTGTATAAGAGGGTGCAACGAGCGAAGCAAGACCACTGGATGCTGCCGGCTTGCCTAATGTTAGCATCTCATTTGTCAATGGTTGTAGACCTTTGTCTTTGTCCAGTAACTCATATGGAGAGACAAAATACGTTAGACGCATTGCATGTCCTGAAATAGTATTAAAGATATTAATGTCTATGTATTATGTTATTTTTAGTTTTGTAACTTGGGTATAAATTACTGAATTTTTTTTAATATACAAGATTTAGGGCCTGTAAAATAGGTGATGGATATATCATATTTTGTTCCCTTATCTGACAGTGACATCATTTTTAAACTATCTTAACCTCTATCAGCCAATGGTGGGACAGCCCCTTGGAGTATATCTAAGGTGAGAATATATTTTTGTATAATATAAGGTGGCAAACGAGCAACCGGCAACCTGAATCCGCCATAATGGCGAAGCGACCGCTGCCCATGGACATCCGCAATTTCAGATGCGTTGCCTACCCTTTTCCGATGGAGGAGGAGACACACAAAGAGGGCATTTCCTCTTCCTATGCATCTCCTCCACTGTCAAATCTACTTCCTCTTCCCATCCTGTCCTTATAAAAAAAGGATGGTTAAGAGAAAGGGACTTTAATTAGGCCTCCTGCACCACATTCATCAGACGAAACACGGAATTGCTTCCATTTAACGCTGTCTTCTGTGTGGTTGTGGTATTGCACGGGGCGTGCCTGCCCATTCATGCTAAGATTTTAAAGAGTGCACTACCACTGTAGATTAGGGCTTTGGATTAAAAATTGCACAAACAAATAACTGTGGCACATTTCATATTGTGGATACTGATGTAATGTGTTTATTTAAAATATTAGCAGTACCTCCTCTGCGTTTCTGTAGGAACCCAATAGGACTCTTGTGGACCTGCGCCCAGGGATCTTTAATGAAACTCTGAAGCTGCCGCAGGGTGCATAAATCTTCTTCTAAACTCTGCAGAGCACTGAATGCTTTACATTTTACCTATAATGTTAATAATATTGTGTTCAATATTGATATAACATACCATTTATTATGTTTAAAAATAAGATATATTTGTGAAACTGTGATATTACCTTCTTTTCTGCATTTAACTGGTATACTGCTATTAGTCCTTCCAGTTGAGCAGTGAAGTCAGCGAAATCTCCTCGAGTTATACTTGCAACCATTTCTTCACAACTCTGCTGTTCAATCTACAGACAAAATGGTGCACTATTATATTCGCACATAATATAAACTATTTCCCAATATTTTTTACATTATATATCATCACTTAAGAAAACTTCTTACACAGTTTATTCAATATAGCTGTTGCTTACAACTTCATCTGTATGAAATTAAAAGAAATGGCCTATGTTACTCACTGATAATGTAGCTTTTTAATGGTAAAAGAACATTTGAAATTGGTCCAGTAGTTTTTGAGTTATTTCAGTAAATACAGATCTTTCCTCTTTATAACATTAGTATAGATTATTGAATCTATTAAACTTCTTAGAAACTCTGAAATCTTACCTTTCCTTCATGATGAATTTTTACATCTTTAACAGAACCTAATGATTCAACAAGTATTTCTAAATAAAACATATCTGAAGATATGAAGAGATTCACTCCTGATGTGCCCACCACAAACTTTAACCTGAAATTAAATTTATTACTTTAGTAGATTCGCCAAAATATTTATTGGTTTAGCTAATTTATTGTTTAGAATGTGATCCATCCATTTTTGTATCATTTTGGGATTAATTTTAATCAGCATTCATACCAATTTTTAGAAATCAATACTTACCCAAGCTGCCTCGATAGACATTCAAGTCTTTCTATTAAACTTTGTAGAGAGCTGACTTTTATACAATGTTGTAAGCTGTCCAAGCACTTCTGAAGTATCTGTCTGTCTGCACTGTCTACTGCCCATCGTTTATCCTGTGTATTAAAATTAAATTAAACAGAATGATGGAAATTTGGAATATATTTTTTTTCACACTGTTCAATATGTTGGATACATTTAGTTTTAAATGGATTTTAAAGTATCTTTGAAATCATACCAGTAATGCCATACGAACAGCTTTTGAGGTTTCACTTAAATTTTTATATTGTGATGTTTTGGACCTCAATTTCTCCATGAGGATCTCCTTTTGAAGTTCCTTTGACTTGTCCATGAGACCGTTGGCAGTCGCCATGGCTATAGGTTTACTCTCCGTCATACTTAGAAAACTTGATTAGTAATAATGTAACAACAAACAAAATTGATAACACCACTAGAATCACAGATGGTTTTCAGACCAGCCCATGTATGCTTAGTGAAACCACTTTCGTTGATGCATTTTCCATGGACTAATATTTCATTTACATTTAAATGATAACAAAACGCTTATTATTGGATTATTTTCCAAAAAATGAAACTTAAATATGTGACATGATGTGACATAGGCTGAAGCAAGCGAGAGCGAACTGTCAATTTCATTTGAGATGCCATTTGCTTTGAAAGATTTGGGGTTACCAGTTAAATTCTATCTATTTTTAAATTGTTTTTCCCAGTTTTCCCACTTCCAGTATTATGTTAAATATTATAAAAATAATTCAGAATAATAATACTAAAAGTGGTAAAGATTATTGGAGAGGAGATTGAGATAATTCAAGTAACAGACATTGTTATTATGGATATTGTTTGTATGAAACTTCAAAGAATTCAAGAATTATACCCTAAATGCTGAACTTCATTTTTGCGTTGACGTTTGACTGAAAGTAACAACAAACAAGCAAGCATTAAATTAACTAGCCTTACCCTAGCCAAAAGTAACAAGATTTATAAATTGAATTAAGAACATGTAATTACCTAGCAATATTCACAAAAAAACTCTTTACCAACGGTTATACATGGTTAGACCTGAGTAGTTAATTCAATTGCAATATAAAATTCTAAAGTAAAAAGGGCGCATTTGAAATGTATTGGCTCAATTTTACAAATTGTTTTATTCAGGTATCCTTGTCACGAGCGTGGAACTAAAGGGATCAGACGACGTAAGTGGAACGGAGGCCATGCAATCGAATTATGGTTGCTTTTTACCCCTTTTAGTTGCTTTAAAACATGAAGAACGTGTCACTTTGATGGAGGCGTTTTTAACAGCATTTTTAAATATTTAAAATCTAGTAAAAAATTTTACAATTTTTGTGATTTAATAGTACGAATAAATAAAATTATTATCCAAAATTGTGCGTAATAAGTCAAGGAAAACAGAGTATAAATCTTAGCTGGGGTCCGTTCACCTGAAGTTTGAACAGTGTGTAATCACACGAACCGCGGAGCGGCATTACATGAGCAAACACAATTTAATGAGAAATAGATTGTGGATGAATGTTTGCTTGTTTATTTTGCAAGATTCAAATATAACTTTAAAATATCATGAAAATATAATTTGGATGCTCTAGCGTATCTGAGCGGACAAATGTAGGTATACTAAACTATACTTTTAGAATAAATTCTTAATTATGTAAAAAGTATCAATCGCATAATTGTACGTAAAAGTAAAATCTTATCTTTTTAAAAGACCTTAACTTAACCCCATGTTAGAAGTGAAATAGGAATGGATTTTGTATATAACATTTTCTTAGAGGAAAATAAAGTTTCCGTTCAAATAAAAAACGCGTTCTTCGCAGGTGCAAGTCTGTAGATGACACATTTACAAATGCATTAACTATATATTTCTTATCGACGTGACATCAAGCAGTCTGTTGCGTCGAGGAAAATAAACTAAAGGAAAATATGCAAGTAAAATTCTTATTTCAGACAAATTCTTTATTTTTATTGAATTCGAATTCGAAATAGTATCTAAGTAGTGCATGAAAAGTATTTGCTATATTAAGTAGACACTCTACCGTTCACTTTGCAATCTTTCCAGGTACTAAAAGAGAGCTATCAATTTTCTGTTAGCTCTCTCCTCATAATATATTTTAAAAGGTCCTCGTGTTGACTAAAGCTTCACTTTTACAGGTAAGTAGGTTACATAATTTTAAACATTACGTTTTCTAGGAAGTTAATATATGATTGTCGTAGTGTGTTCTGTGTAGTAAATAAAACTTACGAATTAATAAAAAGGACAGGCGGTAATAAATTGATAAAGTAAGAGAGAGCTTTATTATAAATAATCTTCGTAATTACGGAATATGAAATACTAATGTGTAACTGTAAATTGTAGGTACTTATATAATTTTTTGTAATATATTATTGTTTATTTTCATTAAAACCAAGAATTTCGAGCAAAATTTATTTCAGTTGTCACTAAATAACGACAAGAAATCGCTCAATTGAATGGTACGTGGATATCGTAGCCTATTGGCCATATGATTTCATTAAATGCGGTTTTATTAGCTTTTTATTTCAATTCTAAAAAAACATTCGTTCCTCAGAGCCGATCTAATTCCTTCAGACGTATACTCAGATACGATCGCTAAAACGTTCTCCCTTCTCTTTGCGTGAAAGCATTTATTGCATTAATAAAAAGACAATGGTGTCTGGCGAATAAATATTCTATAGACTGCGAGTAAAATTCTATTATTGGTTGTTTTATTGTTAAATGTCATTGTTACTGCTTCGTAAATAAAGAACAATAGTTAAGGTAACAATTAAATATGTTAGAATCAGTTGTATTTAACCTTTAGTCATTTGCATAAAGTATTACTTCGATTATACGTTGTATTTAGAGCCAGTATTTTCGAAAAATTATTCCATTAATACGATCTGCTAAGATGAAGATTGCTTGTAAACTATTATCATCTTATTACTTCTGAGAGAAAAGATAATAAAAAAATAAAGTTACGGACTTTAAAAACATTTCATAACTTGTGTATAAAAGAGTTTTTGTAAGGTTCTACATACGTCCAAACATTGGTGGTTTACAAAGAATGATAGATGCACGAAATGTTCTCTGTTGAAATATCTTCATTGTTTTATTTTTTGTCATATGAATGTTTGTTTCCACAATGTTTTATTCCGGTCTGTTCGTATTGTGTATACATTTCTTAATGTTATTCAAAAGCTACATTGGTATAAATTAATTTATGTAAAAACGAGCTGTTGCCCGCGACTTCGTACGCGTTGTATTAGAAAACATACAAACCATATAAATTACAAAAAGGTACGTATCCCTCGGGAACTGGACATTTCTCGGGGATGAAGCCTATTCCATGTGTACTCCAGACTTTGTTTTATATCTGTGCCAAATTTCAATAAGATATGTTGAATCGTTGCAGAATGATCGAGTAAACATTAAAAAACTAAATTAATGAATCCCACGGGAACCGTAACTATTCCAGGGATAAAAAGTAGTCTATGTGTTCTTCCAGACTATGCTCTAAACCTGTACCAAATCTCATGGAGATCCGTTCAGCCGTTTAGGCTACAAACGCTAACAAACATCCATCCATCCATCCATCTAAACTTTCGCATTTATAATATTAGTAAGATAATATTTTGGTGTAGCATAGGTTACTGTAGTAATATTTATTTATTTATTATAAATAGTACAATATCGTGTTCTTTTTCTTTAGGTTCTTAAACCTTTTGGTTTGTAATAGGAAAAGGTGTAATAAAAAAAATAAGATTGACAACATTTTTATACAGTGTAAGGATTAATAAATTGTCTTTTATTTGTTTTTAAGCTGGACTTTTAAGATCTTTAGGTTAAACGCTTATATTTTGTATACTTATTGGTGTTTTACAATTTAATTTTAAAACTTATTTGTTTATGTCAAATGCATACAAGACTTAATCAGAGCTTACGTGGGGCGCGTCTTGTTTACGAAGTAAGTTAAGTGCAGAGATGTCGGGATTATCCTTGTTCGAATACAATCTACTTAGCTCATGATTGATGTTGGCTTTGAGGATCAAAGGATCAACGAGTGTCCTTTGACTAGATTACAAATTACTTTTTCTAATTTACTTTTAGGCTTAGCACTTGTATATTAATTAGGATTGAATGTAGATGGTTGCAAAGGTAGAGGAAGATTGAAAAAAGTATGAATGGATAATGCGAAAGAGGGAAGAGAGTGAGTTTAGACGGCTGATAGAGATGTATGGAAGAACAGCATGTACTGTACCCATCCTCTGTCGGGACAAGGACAAGTAGGTGATGATAAAGACTTACATAATTGTAGAGATTAAGTTATATTTTCGATGACCTTATAATGTTCTTGATGCTGACGCTGCTATCATCTTCTCAACAAATAGATTGACTTTTCTATCATTTGTCTACGCTGTATAATTTCATTACTACATTGATAAATACAATGCGTTTAGTTGCGTTAACAGAAGATGGTTCAATTAATCTGAAATTGTAGCGGAGTATCACGGATTGTTTAGTATATCCACCTTTTACATTATCCTGGGACTTTCTCCATTTGTATTGAAAACTATAATAACCATATGTATATAATTTGAATATTAGATAAGGAAAGTTCCTATATTATAAAGTAGGTTAGTCAACTTCCTCTTCGGAGAAAAATAATCTGAATTGTGTTGATTTTCTAAGTAATAAAGTCTATTTTTAATCAAAATGATGGTCATCTTAGTTGTTTCGAAAGCGATTAATTTAATTCTCTTAACTTTAATTACTTGAAACCGCTACTCATGCTCAAGGGTAACGGATATTGTCACACATTAGTTCCTGTGTGCACTTTTATAATTAAAAGTTTTTCTTTGTTAGAGAATTAAAAGATACGATAAATTATCCTATAACTAGAAACTCATTGGAAATATTTTTAATGAAGCTAATCGATTTAAAAATGAATATTATCGGATACACATTTCATTTAATATTTCATCAGATTGTAAGTTCCTTGTTTTTTGTCTGTCTACTAATCTATAAGGTTTACTAAACATTTAGAGCGCGTGCACATCTTTGACTAAACTATCGTATAACTGTTTAGTCGCGCTTTGATTCCTATAAGCTTATATGGAAGTGCAGACTACTCGATTTTTAGTTTTGCAACTCATTAGTTGAATTTGTTCCGTAACAATCGACAATCGCACAACAGTTGCGATAATTTAGACTAAGGTGTGCGCCCGCTATAATAATGTACGTGTATCTTGTCACATATAGTGGTCTCTGTTTTTACATTGTGATTGTAAGGGATGACAATAGTTGTCGAAGTGTCACGTCAGTCGAAACTCGCAGTTTGATGGACCTTTTTCAATATTAGTTTTGTACGTCATTGGTGTCAGAGGAAATGAAAAATAATTCCAGTGTATTTATTTTATTAGTAGTAAAAATAATATCATTTCTAGAATAACTTAAAATAAACACGAAGAGTTTAGAATAAATAATAACAGGTACATTTCATTTAAAGATTAGTAAGACTTATTAACAATTAAATAGGAGATTGAACTCCTCTCTCTTAATATCTATGTAAAATCTATTTAAAATTTAAAATACATAGAAGTAACAATAAGCAAGATTATTATTTACCTTGCACATAGAGGTATTAAAGTTTCATATAGAGAAATTGGGACCATTAAACATTTATAAAAAAAATCTAGAATGGTTATCCAAAAATATAACTGCGATTAAAAAAATTAAATATCTAAATGCAATAGTCAAAAGCTGAAGAAGTAACACTTTATATCGGTTAAATGAGGGTAGTTTTAACGAAGGGGTCGGTTTTGGTTGAAGGCCATGGACCTCTTGGAGCCGATGGGGAAGTGAGAGAGGTCGATCTCGTCCATGGGGTAGTCGGGTCTGTACCGCTTCTTGTCGAAGTTGGAACTGTAACAAAGAAATAACATTTAATATCTAATTCATTCACATAGAGAAAAGTATAAACAGGAAAAGAAACATCGGTTGTTTTAAAGCACGTTGCATTTGTACATATTAGAATGTAACAAAGTAGGAAACGGAAACAAACTACACATAAAAGGAACCCTATTTATGTCGTTTTCGTTTTCCATACTTAAATGTCCTTCTCCCTTTTTTAAATTCAATCAATGTAATCAAATACGCAACGATAGATATCCCTGTTTAATATTTAAATCACCTACAGAATTGTATTATCCAACACATACGCTGCTAAATTCAATAAAGAATGCTCCCATACGTAAAATCCTTTAATCCAAATCAGTTAAATTAATTGCCTTGTCAAACGCACTTTACAAGGGACGAGAATACATCATAATTACAATAGGAACTTAAGTGAGACGGTAAATAAAATGCAATAAAATGTATGATTTTAAACGCGATAATAGTTTAAATAAGTATTTTTACGTTTGACCCAGAGTTAGAGGGTCATAGGCTATTTCACAAGACGGTTCGATATTTAAAACTTGCGACAAACTTCTCCATTAGTAAAACAACAGACAATCATTTTGATAAACACCCAACACCTCGGATGTGCCTTGAAAAGTCATTATTTTTATTTCGTTTTACAACTACTGTTTACAGTAATACGTAAATTATTTCACTCTTTCTTTAGAGAAATATATTTCGAGTAGTAATAGTAAATACTTACACTGGAATATCAAGGAAGTTGGATCCGTAGAGGTTGTAGAACCGCTTGGCAGCATATGGGAAGGGCTGTTCGAGGTCATCCATGTTACGCTTGCCAACGAAACTGTCCAGCTCAGACCTGACAACCATAAATCTTGCTCTTTACATCAGTCATGTCTCATCAGCTTCATTTAACAAATTACACGAAATACATACTTGGTCCTAATAGAGCAAGTGTGCTAACGAATTGCATATCATGCGTATCATGTTTCATGAAGCGAATTCATACTGATTTAAGTACATAATATATGCGTGACCTACGAATAAACGAGCGTAACAAAACAGTAGCATCCAAAATATATTAGACGAGTGTTAGCTGCGTAAGTAATTAACGTGTTCAAAAGAGTGTCAGTGAAAACACGATTCCGCCATTATCATAGAAATTGTATAGAATTTATGATGTTGTTTGTATCCGAAACTGAAGCGAAACAACGTTTTAATGAAATGCGATACTTATTGTTAAGACAATTACTTTCCGCAAACGAGGTTTAGGCTAAGCGCCATCTGCGCTCGGCCACCTCAAGCCCGGTGAATCTGTAAATGCCTCCTCAAGGCAAACAGTGGCCATTCAGTCACAAAAAAAAAATAATAATGCTTTCCGCAGTTATTCAACAGGTACAAAAGTTTCTTCTTTTAAAGGAAAATATTGTATTACGTTTTATTATTTCAATACTAACTTATTCAAATGTTAAAACTGCATCGACAGTCATAAACAATAATATCTCTTTACTATGGAATTAGGTCGATGTCTGTACAGTCTGACATAGCAGAGATAAAGTAATTACCAGGAGAAAAGGAATTTAAAAAAACGTACGCTTACTCAAAGAACCAGGCGTTCATTTGCATATACACTTCAAATCTTTTTTAAATACTGCTAGAATCATACTCGTTTTAATGCTAGCAAAACTATCCTACTTTCATGCCTAGTACTGAAGATTATGGATTTAACATTGCTAAGACAAAGGTTTTTACGTAGATCGTCAAATGTTCCTGTGGGTTCCCATGGCAACGTGGATCAGACAAAATCTCAAAGTTTTACCGTTAAACTAATAAAAGATTCACTACAATGTAAAGCACAGTTAACAATATATGCTGTTTTTAGTATATGTTAAAATGTGGTTATACTCACCGATCAATTTCATCGAAGTTCCTTTTCGGGTAATCTTCACGGTAATAATCAGATGATATCAGTGGAAACAGTTGCCGTCTGCCGTTTCTGGACAATAATTAAATATAATTTCTATTGCGTAACCTAGTTATTAAGCAAGTTCAAACTACAGACTTTCGATATAGAATTTAATTACTATCAGCAACATTCAAGATCCGGTAAACATTACTTAGCTATTTCTTAGAGCAGATTTTCACTTTAAAGTTTAAAGGCAAGGATTTTACCATACACATTTAGACATGGCTAACGCTTTAAACTAAAATATGATAATTACACCCTCGTCGGAACTTTTGTAAAAAACATCTTGAAAAAATGTCAGTGGAATACGAAGCAGAATCTGTGTAATGCAAATTTTAAAAGGTTTAATGAAGACAAACTTTTACGTAGCACAGAAAAGAGCAAATGGTATTTTTTACAGAAAGAAATATGTTGTAGTTTAATGCCATGTTCCAACCAAATATATTGTAGACTGCCGATTACGTGCTAGCTTAGAAAAAGCCAAGTATAAACGTGACACACTGCTTTTATGGCCAGTGAACCAATCTTGCGTGCTGAGGTAATCTGTTTAGTGTATAAAAATGTTAAATGCAGATAAAAAACGTCTCAGCTCACTCACAATACATTTAGAAGATTGTTACGTATCTTAGTGTAACAGAATATTATTTATTAGTTGTTTTTTCATAACATACTGACTTACCCGACAATTTCATACCGTCGTACTGCTGAAAACGGCAGGAAGCTGGAATGTCTGGACTCACGGACTTCGCGGACGAGATTCCCGCCACCCAGGGGATCTAAGTTTCGCACTTTGTGACCTGTTTAATCGTAATTAATTAAGTTTTATGGATATGCAATGTACTAATGTCCCAAAGTAATTTAGTACATACGTTTTAAATCTTACCTGTTTGTACGACGTTCGCAAAATGGTAGAAAAAAGTCACTAATATGGTCTATGGTCTTGGTTTTGATGGCAAGTTTTTCGTTAATTTAGCATTCTTCACACACAGTAATTATAAGGAAATTAGAAATTGAAATAAAAAGCTGAGAACATTAATAAAACACAATCAATTTTACGTATTGCAAGAAATCTATTTAACGTTGATAACTTAAACAAATAAACGACAAACAAGTATTAACTATCTCATATCACATTCTATACGTTGTTCCATTACTATTTACTATCGAAGAGAGAAAACTGTAACAATTTTACGAATAATTTTAGAGAAAGTTTCCTTCGCCTAGCTCCAACGCTCGAACAAAGTTATCCCCGCCGAGAGGGTCTAAATTTCTAACGAAATTTCCACCGCCCAGAGAATCTAAGTTCCTCTTAACAAGGTTAGGTCCACCGATCTGATCAAGGTTCTTCTTGACGAAGTTACTTCCGCCGAGTGAGTCGAGGTTCCTTACAAAATTTCCACCGCCGAGTGAATCAAGATTCCTGACGAAATTCCCACCGCCGAGAGAATCGAGGTTCCTGACGAAATTCGCCCCACCAAGTGAATCGAGATTCCTGACGAAATTTGCTCCTCCGAGTGAATCTAAGTTGCGAACAAAGTTACTACCTCCCAAGGGATCTACGAAACGGGCACTTAATTCTACATCCCGACCCAGCATGCCACTGCCTCCGATTCCATTTAAATTTTTCCTTAAACCTCTGCCAGTCAACGTAGACCCACCGATACCGTTTATATTCCTGTTGCCACTATAACTGTTTACGTTCCGTCCTAATAATGTACTTCCTCCCAGACCACCATTAATGTTTCTTCCCATCAAAGTGCTACCACCAATACCGTTTAAGTTACGATCACCATTCCGATGTTCGTTTTGCAGCAAAATCCTCATTAGGTAATCGAATTCCTTTTGTCTATAATCTGAAACAGAAGGGAATATTTTTAAAATTCGAATGAGGAGTTGTATTTCAATTATTGTATTCAAGCAATCTGTATTTTGAGCGGTGGTATCAATAACCCTTTGCGTATTTAAAATAAGAACATAAATATAACTTACCCACGTAGGAGAGTGCATGGGACGGTCAGTGCACAAATAACATATAAAACATTGTGCGGAGACAAACTTTGTGAGAAGTGCGTTTTCATCACAAAAAACGTGACACAAAATAGATTGTAAGGTATAGTGCGATTTATAACACGGAAGTTTTATTTGTGCAAATATATTTAAGGAAATAATCCGGAGCATAAAAATACGTGTTATGTTTGGATAGGGTTATGAGTGTTTTTCAACTTGGATTAACAGATTTGTGCTTGGGGTGTGTAACCTAAGCATTCCCAAGTGCATGATATATGCATTGATTTTTCTTTCATAAAGTTTGAATACTTACCATTAGCGTCGTAGCGTTCTGAGCTGTGGTCACTTACGGTGCCATCTTGTTCCTGTTTAAAAGGAGCAAGAATTAATTGGGTTCTTTCTTAAATTTAGGTTTATAGTTTCTCTTTTCAATCTATCTCTATCTTTTCACGATTTTGCTCAAGTTTGTTAAAGGCTAATATAATTAAATCAATATCAATTAGTTATTTGTTATTCATAATATCTTATTGTCTAGCTATTACAATAAGATAGAATAGAATTGTTAGTGATTTTGATTGTTTGGAAAACATTTCGTAGTATGATAAATGTCGAATATTATTTTCTAACAAACGCAAAGCTTATTAAAGCCTCTCAACCACAGTTATAATGTTTTGTTCAAATTTTCTATTGCTTTTTCATCGAATTTTATAAATACAGTGATTAAGTATTTGATTGGGAGCTTATGTACTTAATGTATTTTCATTTGAAGAAAGCTCCTTGAATACTGACGATGAATTGTAAAGAAGGAAACAAATGTTTTTATTTGTTTAACATCTTTGTTTTCTTTTTTGTCTGTAACTAGTTAGTCTGTAATTATTAAAAATATTTTGAACGCATCTATTATGCATCTTTTTATAGGGATTCCTAGCTGTCGGTAGCTTCGTCCGCGTGAAATTTAAAAATAAAAACATAGACTATGTTACTCTCTGATAAATTACTTTTTAACGGTGAAATATTTTTTTTAAAATTGGCCTAGCAATTTTTGAGTTATTTTAATAGAAACAAAAAATACTAATCGTTCCCCTTTATAATATTATTTTAGTATGGATAGATAGTAGTAACTTATTTGTGCATTTTTATAGGAAATAACACGTATTATTGAGTTTTAACCATTTGAATTAAAGTAATAAGTTCCTAAACGTATTACAATTTACATAATCGACGAGCAGCGTGTTACTTTCTCGAAAACGAATTACAGACGATCATGTAATTTGGCGAGTAACATCTGTATCGGGAATAAAGTAAGTTTAATTTTCAATTTATTTCACGAAACATAAGTATTATAAAGAACTCTCTTTGATTAGTAATTACATTTCTGTTGTTCATGTTTTTGAAATAAAAATTAAAAAAGTCTTGAGGCGTGTTGAGTTTTCTTGACATGAGATATGAAATCTTTTATCAGACTATTAAAGTATCTGAAAAATGCTCCTTAAGCATGTTGAATTTGGTTTACGTATGTACAATTCAATATTAGAAGTTTGTTGTAAGACATGTCACATAAGTGGTAAATAATTTTCTTACCCTATGCGGGTCGGCATTGCAGCAGACCAGTATGGCAGCTATGACAACAGCAAAACGCCCGGCACGCATCATTGCACCTGTTAATCAATTACTATTAGATCCGCAAAATAGTGGGAAAATGGGTTAAGATTTGAGAATTAGTTAAAGTCTCGTGAAGGAGGTTAATAGCGAATAAAGGGAACCAAAATACAACCTACATGATAGTTTGAAATTTTAATTTCCCATTATAAATTGTAATTTACAAGAAAAAAAAACCTAAAGGATATATGAATAGGTCTTTTTATCAGTAATGAAGTGAGTGAATGAAATATAAATTAACACATTTAAATTTCTTGACCGTCATAAAAAAAATTACGACCTTTTGCCACGCTAGATAACAGCTTCTCATTAAAATACCAACACGAACATCATTTGGTGCTGCGTGAATAATTTTTACATCGTTGATAGTACTGTCTTTACTTATTTATACAATTCTAGCTTCGCTATGTACGAAAATTATGTAACAGAATTAAACAAACACATAATTTTCTCATTTACTGTTAATAGTACGATTTTCACAAATAACCAACGTAACTTTTCACACTGAAACATTTATTAAATAACTTACTTCTTGAAGCGTAACGTTGGCTGGCAGTAGTTTTACTATTATCTTGAATATGAGTTTAAAAGAATCCAGTCCTATACTAACTACACGTCCCTTACACGTCAAAATCTCGAATAACACAGTATCATTTTTGTAATTCGAAATTTACTAAGAAATTGAGTTGTATCTGAGTATCTGGGAATAGACCATTCTTCTCCTTGTAGTAAACTAGCTATTGCTTGCGACTTCGTTTGCGTGGAATTAAAAAAATAATAAAAAATATAGCCTATGTAACTTACAGATAAGATACTTTCTGACGATGAAAGAATTTTTAAAATCGGCCCAGTAGTTTTTACGTGTATTGAATACATACAAAAATGCAAATCTTTCCTCTTCATAATAATAGTATAGATATAGATAAATGATATTGGTTATAAAACTGCTGTTTAGTATTCCTTGCGAACGCTTGTTTATTAAATGCGAAGCCTAATATAATTATTGGCTCTTGATCTTCTCTTATTAATCTATAGATATCGCTTCCTGTGTTCAAATTAAGTTACATGCCGCCGCATGGAGAATGCTGATGTAACGCTTTTTATTTTATGGCTATATTTTATTTGTACTTTTAAGCGACCTTATTAGTCGACAGTAATGTGAAATAAGAAAATAGGAACATTAGAAATTTACTATGGTTTTTTTTTATAGTTTCTTAGTTTTCAAGTAACATGATTTTATATGATAAAGTTAGTATCTATTATTATTTAACTAGAAACAAATGAACCTACCTACATAAACTAGATGAAATTACTTAGAAGTAGGTCAAGACATGAAAATAAAACTCGATCGTTTTCTAGAACATTAATTTGTTATTGGCTAACTTTCTCAGATTTATCTTTAAAATAGGAAAGTTTATAAATTGATAGTACTTAATGTATTAAATTGTATAGGACAGTTCCGTCAGTCCACTTTAAAATCGATTTAAATTCAATAATCTATCGAAAACTATCTGATTTGCACCTATTTGACCCTGTAACAACTTGCGAAAATGTTTCGTAACCGCGTAGCGGTCTACAATTTCGTAGCATTTAGTAGCGCTACGGAATCTTTGGTACTACGACTAACTACAGTTAAACAAAAGCTTATTTTATTGTTTGAAATTTTAAATCCTGCTCTAATATTAACAATTCACTTTTTTGACAGGGTAGACAGACGAAACAAAAAATGGATAACATTGCTAAATTTACTTATACAAGATTGTTGTGCTATTAAAATAAAATTAATTGTTAACTTTAACGTTTCATATAATTTCTTCGTTTCAGTTGATAATAATTATATCGAAAATAACTTTGTCGATGTGTGAATGTAACGTTACATGAGGTGACAGTAGCAGATACAATAGCGGAGAGAATCTCGTCTGTCTCGAGCATTGTGGTCGTTTCATTTGAAATACAATAACTTACTTGTAATTAGTTTCATTTTACGCGATTCTGTTTTATTGACAACATTGTTGTTTAATATTAAAATATTAATATATTTTGTTATACTTAAGAGAATTATAGAGAATCTTTTCATAGAAATTTAACAATAACATTATATTTAGGCTATAAAAAGTGTAATTTAATAACGTCGACTAATATTAGGAACTCCTAATTGTAATTAAAACTAAAATAATGTACAGATTATCTACTCTCTGATTCTTATGTTTATAAGATATCGAAGTGTGATATAACTTTAACTTAGCTATAAAGGGCCAAGTAAAATGGTATAACTTCTTACATGCGCGATTATAATTTGTTTACCATAACATGCAATAATTTGTTCTGTACTAATATGAGCATTCATTCAAGATTTACTCGTGGAGTTGTATAATGACGCATCTGAGTGAAACCAATAATTTTCTAATCTGTCAATGTTCAAACCAATACTCAAGGTTCAAAGAAATGTTCCACGTGCAAAAGGATAATATCTTTTGATTGCTCGTAATTTTTACTTCCAAAAATATCGTATATCAATCGTCATAATATATTTCATTGCTTTATTTTTAGATGCTCCTATACAATTAACCTACGCGTTCTAACCTAAATGCAATTCGTAAGTTATAGTGGAGGCGGTTATTTTGTACTTGGATTTGATGTTTATATTTTCCTTTCTCGATTTATTTAGCTCATTGATTACGTCTAGAAAAAAGTCGTGTATTAAATAATGAGTAATATTTTGTATTTTTACAAGAAATATAAAATAGATTAAACTATCATTAAAGGATACCTTAGTGAAAGACTGGTATAAATATTACAAAAAGCGAAGTACTTTATGCACAAAGATATATGAATCTTTGCCTCTTTCTGGATCGCGTAAATAAATTCTTTTACACAGTCCACTCTCAAGCTTTAATTACACCCGAAACTTTTTAATTTCCATCAAATATGTACATAGTTTAAAAATGTTTTAGTTTTAGTGAAGCCAGAAAAATTCTAACTTTGATAAATGTTGTTTTAGACAAAGTTTGACCGTGAATCATAATTGAATAATTAACTTTAACCGCTAAAGTGTGAATTAAAAAAGTCTCTGAGGTCTCGTTTCAACCTTCATTTAACTTAGTATTTAGTATGCTACTAAATAAACAGATTTATGAGATTTTTTAGTTACATACTTTACCATATGATTTTCTATGCACATATAATGTTAGTTTGTCTCTCTGTTGTAATAGATTATTAATATTGAATCTTATATTAAGCTTCGTTTTGAATTCTAGGTATACATATATATGTGAAAAATTAATAAAACTCACCCGAATATACACCCTTAAAAATTTAAATTCAAAAAGATATATTCGCTTTTCATTGAATTTACTCGGGGTCTCGAATAACATGAAAGATAACCAAATTGTGACAAATCATCAAAGACTTTTTAATATTGTTTACGTGAATGTATGGATAGGAAATTAAGTATGATATTTGTATCTTGTTGCCTGTTAGGGAGTTGATTCCTGATTTTGTCGTAAAAGTTGTAAAATCCGTGACAGCTAAATTTTAAATCGTATGGTGCGAAATTTGATTTTCCGTTTAGTGTTTTTTTATAAAATTCAATTTCAGGTTAATGGAAAAGTTTCTTATATTGTTTTTATATTTAATAGTATATCATAATTTAAAGAAGTGAGTAACGTAATATTTGGACTTGAAAAACAGAGGACCGTATAAATACAAAATTAAAATTAAAAAAACTGATAAACTTATCATAGAAAAGTTACATAGCAGACTTTCGTTACTTTAAAATACTTAAAAAAAGTTTTTTCAAGTTTTTCAAGTTTCTAACTATTCAAATAACAAATTTTGAACCCGAGGTTTCTTGCGTAAGTGATTATTTTGGTCACACGTTGGAAATTTAAAAATATCAATAAACAAAATCTAAGGTTATAAACACTACAAAATACAACAAACTTTTGTAACTAAACAAAACACGACAAAAAGTCATAAAAAAGTTAAAACAAACTATAGAAAATATATATCAACTTCATATATCTAACACTACAATAAACTAAATAAATATAAAATAAGCTTACCTGATTCAGCTGACTGTTAGGCGGTTGTGTTCGGAAGGTTGTGCCGGAGCAAGCTCCGTGCGAGCTTATATATCCCGCGCTCGGCGTTGGGCGGGCGCCGCCCTGCGCGCCTCCTGCATCCCGTTAATGCAAATTGTTAATACTAATTTAATTTTTTTAACAAAATCTAATGTAGAAAATATCATAAATTGTTATTTTTTTTTTGTAAATAGAACACAAATATAAAAACGTTTTGCATTTTGAGGATTAAAATTATACGAGTAACTGTATTTGTGATCATTCCCTTTTTTCGATTCTTATATAACGAACGTGGGTTGGACTTTTAAACTGCGTGTTAGTTCTTTAAGTTGAAGGATATAGATCACAGGTATAAAAATATTATGATTGCTCCTATTTACATAAGTTAACACTTTTATGTTAAAATGTTCTGTTAATTTATCTTGATTATTTTTTTTGAATCAGATTGCATAAAATGTACTTTGCATGTGTACAATTAGGTTATTTTGTTAAGTACTTAAAACAATGTTGCCTTTTTAATAAGATCTTCGTGTTAGGTCTTAAGTAAATCATTAGGTATTATGTTTAAATTGAACTTTTTTAATTAAATACGTTCTACTACGACTATAAAAGTATGGCTTTGTACAAATTTAATTTTCAATTAAGAAATATAATGATGAAGGTATAAGTAGTGATTAAAAATTGTCCTTTCGTCTCTAATTTCTTGTTAAGTACTTTCCATAAAATGGAATCTTGTTGAACGTAATTTGTAAAACATGTTTCCAACTCTGTTTTATTAAAAGAATGTAAGCGACGACAGCATGTTTTTGAGCATGAAAACTCACGAAAACCTCCCGTAAAATCGAATGATAATAGAACGGAACGATAAAATTGTCACATAAATTAAGTAATTGAAGATAAAGAGTGAATGCTTTTGGTGCAATACTTAATATTGAATACTAGTCTTTTTATTAAATCGCTTAGTTTTTTAATTTATTTTTTTATAGGATCGATGATGTTTATTTTAGATTCTTATGAACACAATTTTCAACCTTTACTTTAATGACGTAATCTTTAAGGAAGGTACAGAAATTATATAAACATTGATTTTTTTTATATGGGCTAATTTAATGTTATTCAAATGCTGCAACGATTCAAATTGGCCTCCTGTCGAGCGTGCGTCCCTTCAGTGGATTTATATCTTATTAAGTGTTTGAAATACTTTTTTCATTAAAACACATTGTTTTTCTTTTTTATAATGATTTATAATATAAATATTAGTAGATCTTTGATAATTTACTTATATTTCCTTTAACCATTCCAACTAAGCTCTAGGCTTGTGCTAGGATATGGTTCACGACAATAGTATAATAGTTAAAAACTTCATTTGCATATTATTTTATAGTATCTATGTAAAGATTACAATGTACGTATCTAATTTCAACGGCCTTGATATACTTTTGAGATACAAAGCATTATGGTTATAGTTCCAGGAAAGGAGTTCTTTAGGGACTTCTAATGTTTTCTAGACGGCCAGTTTTCGTAGGTAACAGTTAGGTAACGGCCACGAGGTCGTGGAAGTTGAATATTTAAGTATAAAGAAATTAATATTACCAAGGTTAATTAATTTACCCTTTTTAAATTACAACAAAACATATTTTACAGCTTTAATTAATTTCTATTAAGGCATTGTTTTGACAACTAGGGGAATCTTAAAAAGCAATTAATTCAAGTTCAGCTGAAGTTTTCGTTAGGACGCTGGTTTTGGTTTAAAAGGGTATTTATTTAAAAATTAGATTATTCTCTAGTAAAAAATAGAGTATGGAAAGTTTTGGAATCGAAGTGAAGTTTATGATAAAACCAAACTTGATGAGCCTTTATTTAGATTAAGTTAGACAAGTTTTTATTTCTTTTAAACATGTAGAGTTGTAAATATGCTGCTAACGATTAAGAATTTACTTTGAAAATTGTATTAAGATATTTAAGGATATATGACAAAATGTTACAATCTCGATATATTGCTGATCTTAGTCTCTTCATAAGTAATTCTTTGAGTCGTTTACCTCATTATTGAGGGTTGTAACAATCTCCATCCACCTTCTATCATATAGAAGTTTCTGCCAATTTCTAACTACTCTTTTTATTATATCACATGGTGGCAGAAGCAAGCGGTCACTTGGATCCGCCAATATGGCGAGGCGACCGCTGCTCATAGACATCCGCATTTGCAGACGCGTTGCCTACCCTTATTGACGGAGGAGGAGACGCACATAAAGAGGATATTTATCCTCCCCACGCATCTCCTCCACCGCCAAATTTATTTCTCTATCCATCCTTTGCTTAAAAAAAAAGTGTGGAAAGGGAAAAGGAAAATTAGGTCTCCGGCACCACACTTATCAGACTGTACGCGGAATAGCTCCCACTTCATGTCTGTCTTCTGCGTGGTCGTGGTATTACACCGAGCGAGTCGGCCCATTCGTGCGGAGATGTTAAAGCGGGCTCTACCACAGTACTCATATATCTTGACTATGCAATTAATATACTATTAAACGAGTTGCATTTAATCAACAAAGCATCCATAGAAAGATGGATATAGAAAAAAATGTGCCAGAATGTATTATATTTGTATTTGTACAAACTTTCTTGCATAAGAAATTTGATCATGAAAAGTATCACAAACAGTCGTAGGAGGATGTCTGTCCTACGCTAATGAAACAAAAAGTAAAACTATGACATCCTAAATTGTTAACGGCCCATAACATAGTTACGGTCCGTTTGACAAGGTCAAGGGTTGCTCAAGTTACTAATTCATTAACCAAAATTATTACAAAACATGTCAAGCTGATATGACAAGAGAAACATCTGACGATCGTGCATTGTCATTCACTAATTAACTGACGAACTATAAAATTGACCACTGTCTCCCTTAAGAGGTAATGAAAATTCTAAAACAGATATCAGCCATTAAGCAATAATGTAATAGAAAAATGATCTGTATTAATGGATTGGTTTTTGCATGGAAATGACAACTTTCGCTTCGTTCCAATTTAAAAGGCGCTTGTTGATAACAATGACACTTAATTCTATCTCACCATCGCCACCAACAGCGACCGTCATCACCAAGATGGTGAAAATCTAATAGGAACAAAATACCACTTTTTATATCCTATCTATTTTTCGAGATCAGGGAATAAAGGCTTTTATATTTACGTGAAAGAAGGGTATAATTTTCGAGTCATTTAATTTTGATAACTATAAATTATTGCATGATCAACGGTTTTCAATTTGATACTGTAATAAAAAGGAATTTGAAAAATTGTAACATCATATATCTTTTTGCACATAAATTATAACTAACAACAAAAATTGAGACCCTCTATTAGTTGTAATTTACATCACTAATAACTAAAATTATACAGACTACTCATTTTACTGGTTATGTTTATTAAAATTACTAGCTGTTCCCGTGCCGCTTCATCCCCATGCAATTGTAAAAACTTTATTTTATTGTTTACTAGCGGTTCCCATGCGACCTTATCCGCATAAAATTATAAAAAAATAATTTTATTGTTCACATTTGTCAAGTTATCAATTGCAAATGTCAAAATGACATAACATGATGTCAAACAATGGCATCCTTGCTTCCTTGATGTTGGCAACAACTTATGGTCTCTTTCCCATATTAGGGTTTTTATCCAAAATATTTACCCCTAAGTTTAATGGCGTGAAAATATATAGCCTAAAGCATGACGAAAGTGTAGGGCTTTTTATTAAAAAAGTAATTATTCTAAAATATGCTGTAATTGCTGACATCTTAGGCAACAAAGAAGTTTGTGTTGACGCTTTATTATAATAGTATAGATATTTTATATTCCCACATTGTTTATATTCCCGCAGAAGGATTTTTATCCAAAACATTTAACCCTTAGTTTAATAGCGAGCAAATATATAGCCTAAAGCATGACGTAAGTGTAGGGCTTTTATTTAAAAAAGAATGTTTAAAAAATATGCTGTAATTGCTGACATCTAAGGCAAGAAAGAAGTGTGTGTTTACGCTTTTTTTATAATAGTATAGAGTATAGTTAGGTATAGATAAATAGTGCAATTAATTGAGATAATGGTTTAACCATTGCAAAACTCGCCTCTTAACACAAGAAAATACGGATATCTTAAAGGTAAATGTTAATCTAATATGACATATACATAAAACGTTGTTTTGTCAACATTTAATACAAAATAACATCAAACTTTGTTTCTTTGGTATAAGTAGGAATGTACCCGAACGGCTTGTTTAGTTGAATAATGTTACAACAATACTCTGCTCCTAAACTTGATAGAAACTTATTCAATTATTCACTAATAATATTTTTATGAAATTCCTGAATTCTCTATAATAAATGACAAGTGTTTTTTAATCAATGTAATAATCTTTTCTTGTATGTTAATAATTCAACAAGTTTTTTTTTGGCAAATGTACATACTAATATTATCAATGCGAGAGTTTAGATAGATGGATGCTTGTTAGAATTTGTAGACTAAACGACTCAACGGATCTGGATGAAAGAAAAGTTGTACAACTTAGTTTGGAAGAACGTACAAGGACGGAGTCGTGGACAAAAGCTAGTAATTAATAAAAATAAAAGACGTCTCTTCAAAATTTCTCGTGTATTTGTCATCTAATTTGATATTAATGAGATATGTAATTATGTAGTGAGACGAAATTTTAGTGATGAGGCATCATTATACGAGGGCGGATAATTAAGATGGTCATAGTATGGCAACTACGCAATGTTAATAGACACGAAGCCGTGACTTGCAAACGAAAATACACATGTAGATTAAGGAAAATAATATCGACGCCTGATAAAATATACATACAAACATAAACGAACAGTTTATGAGAAAGTTGTTGTCTATAGTCAAAGTTGCTTATATTGTCTATGCTCACAGTATCTATAGGAACCTCAGTAAGGCAAGGGGACCGCTAACTATAAATTGAAAATTTGAGATTACGAACAACAATAGATTTTCTTTAACATATACATCTAGTAAT